CCCCGGCCCCGGGGGAGAGGCTGGCCCCGTCCCACGTTGGGGGGCTCCTGGAGTAAGTTCCCCGTGCCGCTAGCGCTACCTCTTCGGTTAGACTTCTTTCACGCCCCCGCTGATGCTGCAGACGAGCAGCCAACAGTTCTTCACTTCTGCGTTTTTCTCTCCTGGTCCTACAGCAGTAAGCCTCGTGGAGGGAGCTGCGGTGTGTGGTGCTGGGCCCGGTGCTGGACAGACCTCGCCCACCGCTGGAGGGCTTTGCTGCTGCAGCTCCTTCCTTACCCCTGGGTCACTGGCCTGGGCCATAGTAGTGTGAATGAAGTTTAAACTATTCCTTCTTTACTGCTCCATTTACAGGTCCACTTGAAGCCATCTTCCCACAGCTTTTCCACTCGTGGCATCTTTGCCCACTGTCTTACAGCGTTGCTCTTGCTTCCATGCTGCTCTTTACGCCAAGAACAGAGTCCATGCAGCAGTTGCCTCGTCTTACTGCTTCTCCCTCCTTTACACCTACTGGAAGTCAGATCACTAATTAGAACAAACTTTTAACAGTAGCTAAAGAAAGATCCTTTTATGTAGTTGCTAACGAAAAAATGGTTTAAAATATCTGCATGTTCTCATCAAGATTAACTCTGCCTTTACTTCCCTTCCATAGGGTGTGATACTTACTCATTGTACGTCTAGTTCCATCATGAGCTTGGTGCAGTATCACTGTTATCTCACTGACTAACTTCTTGATCCTTCTGGAAGCTGTCACTACTACTTACATGTATCTCAGCGAGTAAACAGTTAAAATGGTTATCAGAAATGACGAGTTTCAGCCACATTGTTTCAGGAAGGAGCAAAAGAAACCATGTTCTCAGCATACGTGATCTGTGACTTAGATTCCCATGAACGTATCACCAGAATGGAAAGGCCTTTTTGAAACTGGTCTGCACTTACACCAGTATAGGTATTTCAGTAGGGGATACGATTTAACAATAGAGCTGGTTTTTACAAATGCTAACTTAGCAGGGAGGAAGCTTAACTTTTAGTGATCTCACTGTGTGCACCTTGGAGAGGTGACACAGGCATGTTAACTTACAGCCACAGTCAATAACCGTTTAAATGGAGGTGATTAAAGTGTCCCTCTGAGGACTAAAGCCCACATTGTGGGGTGAGCATTGTGCAGCAGAACATCAGAGATGTGGTGCCTGGGGGGCCCAGTGGGAAATTTTCATAAGTTCCAGCATTTCCTAACCTTGTAATTTCAGATAGTGTACTGGGAGGTAGAGGAGAGAGAGGATTTTAAAAACATTTCAGTTTCTTCTTTTTATTGTGGCTTAATAATCAGATATACTGAAAAAACCAGTTTTGTTATGGGTGACCTTTGCAGTGAGGGTTAGCAATAGTGTCACTTCTCAGCAAATACTGACTTTTAGGAAGAAGACAGATTTAATGAAAAGCTATTTTTAAATGCTTTCTGTGAGAAAATGGGAACATACAGTCTGCTGAGCTAACCAAAGTGCATACTGCTGCATTTGTAAGCCATTTTACATTGCTTCAGAAGGGTGGTAGCACATTGGTCATCCCTGGGATTGGAATTCCAGGGCTAGACAGCAGTAATGCAAAGCTATAGTTGCCTTCTTCCAGCAAACGAAAAGGAACTAGCTAGTATACAGAAGCAGTCCTGCAAACTCAACTACCTGCAGCCTCAGTGGAGGAGCAGCTTCACAGTATGGTCTTGGTTTGAGATGGTGGCACATACCAGCCCGTAATCGTATTGTGACCTGGGAGCGCACCTGCCCTTATGACAGATTCTGTGGCAGGGGCATCCCTTCTCCCTGTCCTCCCACACTGGATCACTTGGCAAGAATCACAAGGAAGAATCACACATTGCCCACCCATGCACTGTACCACAACTCACCTGACTTTGGAGAAGCATGACATAATCCTGGTGCGGCATCCAAGGAGTGCGTTATGGGACTGGAGATGGGCTAAGAAGGAGGGGAGTGGGGCTGCAGTCCTCTGAACCTTCTCCCTGCCATTTGTGATGGGCCTGTCATTTTTAGAGAACATAGAAGATGGTTACAGATCCTCACAATATAAATGTTTCTGTTTTTCATGCAGGCCAGAGTTGATCAACATACAGTGGTACTCATATCAGGTGCAGAGGGGAAGCCATCCTCTTTCAGCCACTTCATAGTAATGATTTCCTTGCCCCAACTTTGTTTCATCACCAGATGTCTTTGCAGAGTGGCAGCTTAAATCTCTGTAATAGCAGGTTGTATGTACCTGTTGCATGTGCCCTCTAGCTTCTTTATCATGAGGGGGGAAACTAATAGTGACTGAAATCCCACCTCAGTTAAAGGGAGAAAGTAAGCTCTTAGGTATTACATGCTTGTGCATGTAAATTCCTGTGTATGAGCTGGCACTTTGTGTCTGTTAACATGCTCTTTGAATTTTGGCTGTATTTGAGAATTAACTATTTAAAATAAAGGCAGTAAGGCTTTTCAGACTGATGAATGTGCATTAGCTCCACTGTAAAACTTAGAATGATCCTGAGCCATTTTACAGGTAATTGTCAGTATAAAAAGTGAGGTCCACAGTCCATGTGATAGCTTCTTACCTGTACCTTTGGGAGCCTGTAGACAAGACTATTTCTTTGTCCCCATCTTCAACTGGGAAGCAGAGTGAAATAGTGCACATGGGTGCAATGGACCTATACAAACAGGTGAAAAGGAAGAGGCATGAAACATTTTCTGGTAAACAGCCTTGACTTCTTTCATGTTAAAAATAACAAAGAGCTGCAAGCAGAATCATTTATTATAACTAATATATTTAACAATAGAAGGAAATATCAGCTAAACCAATTAAATTCATTGTGGGGCAAATCTATTGACAAATACAGTCCATTGTGCAGTGAAAGGGACCTTTGGTAGTCAATTCCCCATGAGATCTGTACAAAAGAGAAAAGTTAGTCAGTTAATTCATACTTTACTACTTCAGAAAGCAAAGTCAGCAGCCCCTTTCCCCACCTGTAGCTCAGAAATACCATGTTTATAAATTCAGTCTGATACTATCAGACTCGCACAAGGTTGCTGGAAATTCAGCAGAAGCTGCTGCTGTTACTTGACTCCACTTCCCACTTCCATAAGTAGGGGTCAGGAAAAGGCATTGCTTTGCTAGTTGAGCAGTTCCAGTTGGCCAGGGTTTGTTTCTTTGTGGAGATCCAAGATGTTGAAATGCAAAGAATATTTAAAAGTGCGTAACTTTCCCCTGTGCCCTTTGGCTACCTGGAGGATTAGGGAGCTCACCTGTTGAACCTCAAGTGAGCATTTAGACAAGTCAACTCCTGCTCTTACTCTTTCTTAGAAATGACATATAATGAGTCCATAGGCATGGTGATTGAGCCTATGGGGAACGGTCGTTCAGATTATCTCTGGTTGGCCACCAGGTGGTCACCAAACTAGGTGCAGTGCAACTACAGACAGTTTGCTCCTGTACCTCATGAGCAGTGATACAAGGGTTGAAACTGCTGATGTGCCTAAAGCCAATATGGATGAGCAGAAGAGACGTGGTGCTACCTGCCCCAGTTCCAAGAGCAGGGTATATATTTTCCCAAAGGCCAGTGTCAAGAATGTAATAATGCTATGACAAGCCTACCTATGAGTTATGGGATTAAAGCTGCATTCTTATTTTAGGTAAAGGTTTTTATCATCTGGTCTTCCACTGTAGCTGGGACAGAAGCCAGTTTTACAAGCTCAGACCCAAACCAGTGGCGCTTAGCAATTACAGGCATCCCTTGAGAGATTTATTGCAGAGAACCTAAATGGTAGAGAGGAGCATTGCCTCTTTATTTTTAACATAGTTTTTCAGGTCAGTTTTACCTGCAGCTGTGTGCAGAACTTTTCAAAGATGGAAGTTTCCCTGGGAGTACACCAGTACCTTACACTGCTGCTGATTTCAACAGGACTTGAGGCTAGCAGCTTTACACAGGACAGTGGCTTGTATCCCAATTGTCAGCAATGACCAGAGACCTGCTGCAGACTAGCTATTGCTTTAGCGAGTAACAGGCATTCCTGGCAACACAAGCAATATTGTTTTCGTTGGGAAAGAAAGAAAAGAAAGAGAAATGGAGGGACTGGAATGGAAGGGAAGACTGTACATGGTATACATGCCCAGCATTACACAGTCGTATAACTTACTCCACCCTAGCACCAGTCTGCTGGAAAGCCACAGGAGAAACTGCAGGTGTCCACAAAATCCTGGATTTTTGCCCTGGTTGCTTCCAGCAAGCTCCAGTACAGACTTTCTCCCGTGGTGAAGTTAGTGTCTCTTACTCTGAGCATGGCCACTCCCTAGTGACAGTGAAGACCAGGTCCCCTGAAGTTAGTAGAAACAACCTAAGAAATCCAGGTATATATTTGAGGTACTTTGTTCACTAATTTTGATCGTGTGAGTTCCATTTCAATTATTCATAGCAATATTGAATAATGAATAGATACATATCCCTTAGGATAATCTGCAAAATGTGAGAAAACCTTAGCCAGTAGGACATCGTTATAAGTTTTGGGCGTTCCATTTTTGTGGAAAATCGGGGCCAGATAAAGATAACTGAAGTTGGACTGACATGCAGTTTGTTTTTCTGTCAGCTCTTAAGGATGCTGGTCTCTTTTTACAGGAAGATTGTGGATAGGATAGATGACAATAAAGACGGCTATCTCACAACAGAGGAGTTAAAAAACTGGATTAAACGGGTACAGAAACGCTATATCTATGAAAATGTGGCTAAAGTTTGGAAAGACTACGATCTAAACAAGGACAATAAAATTGCCTGGGAAGAATACAAACAAGCCACCTATGGTTATTATCTAGGTAAGATAACATTTTCAGATTATATGCTCAAAGACGATTGAGAGTATAAGGCATGATTTCATGCCTTACAGTCAACAGGAGTTTGGTGTCACATTTAGGACTCTTGAAAATCGCATTGAATTTTATAGGTGCTCAGAGGTCAAAAGCACTTTAGTTGGTTATTGCAGCCATTTCCACATGGGTCACCAGCACAGAGAAGGTTTTGCAGAGAGATTATTAAATGTACTGACAAAGCTGAATTAAAGTCTCCACCAGTTAGAAATATGTTATTTTTTTTAACATTTAAAATGGTACTTTAATTAAAAAGTAATATATTGCATAATTAACCAGTATTTATTAATTCAGTCTCTCTAAAATCTTTAGAGTCTAGATGCTAAAATTTAGGCTGGGTCTAAGCTATAGCAAAATTATTGATTAAAATAGTTCTCGCAGAATAACATGCTTCAGACTATGATCAACTGCAAATGGAAATCCTTAACAAATCAGGCAAAAGAAACACATATCAAAAAATATACCTGAATCGTTTTTTTTCCCCCCATATACATTCCTTTTGCTTTTTATAAGTTAATGAAGGGAAAGGAGGAGAAGAGATCACTTAAGCTAAAGGGCAATGCTGACAGAACAACAAATCAGTATTAATTGACCATTTATACTTACTGGAAATGCAAAGACGATATCTACCTACCATAGGGGCAGTTCTTGGAGCAAGCTTCCAGGAGCAGTAATAATTCTTAAGTCTACCTTAGATTAAAATGGAGCTTATTACATTTGTGGAAGGAAACATTTGACCTACAATCCCTGCAGCAGTATCCCTGGGAGCCCTTCTCAGCCTGTTGTCTTTGTTCTCTGTAGTTCCCAAGATTTGGAGAACAGCTACTACATTGTGGTCTTGTGTTAATGCACACTTAAAATTCCCATCTGTGATTCCTGGCCTAGTCTTTTTCAACTGTTTGTCTCCCAAAATATGAATTGTGAAATTGTTATAATATGAGTATTTTTCATGTTTCAGTTTAGTGATTCTATTTTAAAAATTACATCAAATACCACTCATTTTATGCCACTGAACACCCTGAAAAAATGTAATTGTTTTACACTGAAAATAATTGTTAGGTTCCCTGTAGCAGAGGCGTAGCAGTTAGATAATTTCAGTCAGTCTGCCACCTTCTGAAACCACTTTTCTTTGGTTTGCTTGCTTTTTGAAACTGAAAAGTTGTGTAGATCGTACTGATTCCTAAGAAGAATAAAACTTCTGTGAATGAAATCAGCTCAAATACTGCCTAAGCAGTGCTTGTAAAAGCAGATTAAAAAAAAAAATACATCTATGAAGGATAATATACAATACTGCAAAATCCATTATCATGGATTGCAACAGAAGGCTTAGTCAGACATTTACCTATATTACTAAGTCACCTTTAAATATCAAACCAAGTACTCGACCCCTGAATTTAAAACTTCACAGGAAAAAAAAGTTCCATTTTAATACAGCAGCTATTCTGGCAATAAGCCTTTGTATTTCTAGACTCTTAACAGCAAATTGGGGTGATTCATTGTGGTAATAAGTTTTAAAAGGAACATACTTTTGAGATCATCTTGATTAATTTGCAGAAAATCCAGAAGAATTCCAAGATGCAACTGATCAGCACAGTTTTAAGAAAATGCTGCCCAGAGATGAAAGACGATTCAAAACCGCAGATCTGGATGGAGACTTAGCTGCCACTCGTGAAGAATTCACTGCTTTCCTTCACCCAGAGGAGTTTGAGCATATGAAAAACATCGTTGTCTTAGTAAGCAGAGCAAAACCAATGCCATTATTTTTACTTTTATTTTTTGGATTAGCTTTGAAGTGCTTCTCTAACCTTTCCATGCAGGGTTTAGAAAGAGACACACACATAATAGCTAAGTGGGGAACAGAAGGGGATGCCTTTCATGAAACTGATTTAGAGCATTCAGTATAAGAAAGACTTGTTAAATGTACTTAGACAGCTCTTAAAAGGAATCAAGAAACAGTCTTGGGGCATGGATTTACACCAAAATAAAAGGAAGGGTATGTTGACATGTGGCAGCTAAGTGTTTGATGCAAGCTTGTATCTGCCCCTAACTTAAAACTTAAGCATGGTGTCCAGTTCATTCATGCAGGGAATTTTTTCAACATGAAAGGATATTTGTATATTCATTGTATAAACAACAATCACACTGGAGTCGGTGAGAGTACATTTGCCTGTGTACAAGGGCAGGTCAAGGCCTCAAAACGTTAAATGATCGAAGAGGCGAGTAGCCAGATTTCTTAGTTCTCTCTTGATTACTTTGATGCAAAACTATTTTCCAGGAAACCTTAGAAGACATAGACAAAAATGAGGATGGTTTTGTGGATCAAGATGAGTACATTGGTAAGTGTTGAGATTTATTTCTTATATAATGTCCAGTCCGTTTGTCCATCTTCTCTCAAACTTGCAGCAGTATTTGGAATAATATTTTTCATGACAGGAATATTTTCTGTATACTTGACCACATTAACAGCTTTTTGAAGGCATTATTTAGAAATGCAGGAGGATCAGAAAGTGAATTAGTCTCTTCCCAGTTGTGAATGGTATTTGACTATGCAAAATAGCTGGGAAGCACCTTTTTTCTACTAGTTATTTTCCTAGTTTAATTAGTAAGGAAAACCCCATACTTCCCTAATGGTGATGTCGTTATGTTTCTTCTAGAAATAGAAGATGCATTAACAATGAACTCGGTAAAACCAGCACTAAGATTTAAGAGTCTCAGAGAAGTTGTGAAGCACGTGAAAGTCAGCTGTGCATTACTTCAGTGGCAGAAAGAGAACAAAATGGGAAACATCAACAGATCAGTCACAGTTAATTTGTACAAACTTCCATCACACTAGGCAGTTAGCTGCTGTCTCGCACTGAGACGTATGAAGACAAAATGGAAGCAAGACTGAAGATCAGCAGTACATAATATGGTTTAGCCTTTTGAATCATTATGCTGATACCAAAAGCTAACTTCTCCCACTGCACTCACTTTGAAGGGTTTTAAATCAAGAAAGTAGCACCAGGAAAGCATTAGTGCAAACTCAGATGAATCTTTCTGTTTCTAGTGGTGCTATAAAAGATCACTTCACATATAATCAGGAACAATATACACACGTTAATTAATGGCAGGGGGGGTCTATTCCTTGTAAATTATATTTAGCCTCAGAATGTAAATGCTATTCATTTATGACTGAAATAACAGAGCAGCATAATTTCCACAGTAATTTCAGTTCATTCAGTGACATTACCTACATATAATTATAAGGTAATTGTCAACATTTGTTACCATGTGAATGCTGGTTTTTCTTGTCTTCTATAGATAGGAACATAGAATGTTCTAGTCACGATCACCCCACATTGGCAAGGATGATAAAAATCAAATTGACAGGACATGTCAGTTTCTTCAAATAAACAATATAATTTGCACTTTGAGAAATGAAAAAAGAAAGTGAATGTGTTGTCTGAAGTTTTCTTCATGAGTTGAGGAAAACTATGCTTAAAATATTCCTACTTCCCTTTTTGAGATATAATATTTTTTATTTTTGATGAAGTGGGGTTAAAAAACCAAACAGAAAACCGAATCTCTTCTTTGGTTGTTTATAAGGACAACAAAAAGAAGTAAAAAAATATCAGTTTCTAGATCAGGTATTTTATGGGGAAATCTGCTGAAGGTTATAGAATGATTCCTCCTTCTTCCTTCCTCCTATATTGTCTTTTACAAAATTTGGTTTAGATTTTACACAAGCAGCAAACCAAAATATCCCTAGTCATGTTAAGCAGAGAGAACTAAATTCTTATTGTGCATGAGCGGACAGAGTATTTCAGGGACACTGTGGACAGTTCTAGCAATAGAGAGCTTCACCCTAGTGTGCACACTCACACTGCAGGGTCAGGGGAGGTTATTCCAAGGTTTGAGACCAGCATTTGTACTTCCTATAGATACCAGCCAGCCTCTGGCCCTGAGACTGTTCATGTGAGATGCACTTTTCCTTAGCACATCCTTGAAAACCAAACCCAAAAAGTATAGTAGTATCACAAGGCAGGCTTTAATTATAAATAGGAAAGTGGAAGACTTGAGGAATAAGCAGCCCTGATGAGCAGAAAACGATTGGCCACAGTGACCAGAAGAATAAAGTGGACACACTTTATTTGGTCACACTCATTATTTGGAAGGCCTATGCTGTAAAGAACAGTTACAAATCACTTGCTCTTAATAATCACTGCTACTCTCCCAACTCTGTTTATACAGATAACTGCTGCCACTGTGGCATTTTCCTACTGATGCTTCTTAAATATAGCACAGGACTGATATACAGAGCAGCTCATGTACGTAATCTGTGCATCCTGTGTCACAAATGGTACTCCATCCCAAGGTACCAATCTGTGACAAGCGCACTGCCTATGGTTTCTCACACAGAATGCAGCACTGATTCATGACTTCTCCAGGTCTGTCTTTGTAGAAGAATACCGTCTACTGGAGTATGCTGCAGCACTGCATGGGTAGGAAAGGCGTCGCCTATTAAGAAGGGTTTCTCTTACACAGACCTCTCTAAAAGCAGGACAAAAGCATTCAAGTTCCATTTGGCAATTTTTGTTTTCTTAAATTTCCCATGTGCCTTTTTTCCCTTAGCCACTCTCTGCTGGCTGGAATCTGTTCTTACCCACAAAGATGTTTGCTGGCAGGGACAAGATAAAATTGCCGAGTTCCTTTCTCCCCATGTGATTGAGCCTAGCACTAAAGCTTATGATTGCTATTTAACTAAAGATCCTTAAAGAATTTTTTTCATTCTGAAATTCAGTTGATGATGGCCTTTGGGCACGTTCACCTCTTATGTTAGCCTTAACAGCAGTGCACAGTTACAATACAAGGGTAATGTAAGAATGGACAGAATCACCAGCAGTGAAGAAATACGCTTGAGAGAAGATACATGCAGCTACGCTATTTACACCCCGCATTTCATTTTCTGTACAAAGAAACTATGTGCAAAGAGTGAAAAGTTTAGTCTTCCTCTAGGAACACCGTGCAAATGTCTTTAGTTTGTGCATAATTTGCAAATTAAGTATGACTCAAGTGAGAGCTTTATTTCCTTTCCAGCTGATATGTTTGCAAATGAAGAGGGTGGACCAGAGCCTGACTGGGTGATTACAGAACGTGAACAGTTTTCAGATTTTCGTGACCTCAACAAGGATGGAAAGATGGACAAAGAGGAGATTCAGCACTGGATTCTCCCACAAGACTATGATCACGCACTAGCTGAAGCCAGGCACTTAGTCTATGAATCGGATGTAGACAAGGTACTTAGTGTGTTCTAGTATACTTTTTTAAAAAGCTGTATAAGATGTTGTGGGTTTTTTTAAACATACCAGCTTGCAAGAATTTATTTCTAATAACTTTTCTTATTAGAACACTTTAAATGAAGTTTTAGAGGCTAGAATTGCTAGCATATTAAGGTATCAATCCTCATTTCAGTTGGTAGGGTTAGAATCACAAAGTAGATGTAGTAAAATACAGTTTATCAGCTCTAGAAGTCCCCTTGGCTTTCATTAGGTTAGATGACAAATTATTTATCATCTTAAACCTGGAAGTTTTAACACAGTAGAAATACTCCTTTTCCTTTTAAGAGTGGTCATGGCTTTTGTATGCTAATTTAGACTGCAAGAGAAAAATAAAAGATACATTACATAGGAGGTAGCAAAAACCCCCCATTTCTATAATCACACATCTTTGACTTAAAGACTGGCTCAATACATCCACTTCCTCTAATGTGGGAGATTAATGGTTCAGTGAATCCCAGATGGTGATCTTCAGAAGTATAATGTGAGCAAAGTCGGAACCTGAAAAGCCAAAACACTCTTACACAGAGAGTGTATAAATTGCTAACATAAACAACCATCTTTAACAAAGTACACCAAAGGATTTTCATTTTTACGTCAGGAAGGCAAAACCAAACCACAGGGCAAAACTGCATATCAGATAAGCCATATACTGTTTGACAGTGAGTTACAAAGAACTTTCAGTTAGCAGTTTGACACAGCTGAAGCCAGTGGGGCTTCTGTCTTCCACTGGGGTCCAAATTTCACTCACCATGACAGCTACAATGATTCCTGAACCTGCAGTCTGCTGCTTTGAAGAACTGTCTATTTCCCAGGGCTCTTGTAAGACTGTGCTGGTGTGTCTTTTACTTAGCTTTGAAAATGTTCTTACACACATTTTATTTTCCTCCCACCAGGATCAAAAACTAACAAAAGAGGAGGTTCTAGACAACTGGAATATGTTCGTTGGAAGTCAAGCTACTAATTATGGGGAGGACCTCACAAGAAACCATGATGAACTATGATACAGTATACCATCCAGTATGCCACAGACCTTTTCTCCACTTCACTGAAATCGTTGTGTCCATCCTGTCTTTTGGGGGAAGATGGGCAAGGAACACACTCACAGCCGAATGACTTGCATTAATATATTTTTAACATGCCAGCTTATTACCTCAGAAACAGTGTAGAAATAGCTTTTTACTCTTTTCACACGGTTAAATGCAATATCTACTTACTACAGTTTTATTTTGGAAAAAATAAAAAGGTAACTTTTCTTAATAGATTAGAGCCTGACTTGGAAAAGGCACTTCTAAAAACATAATTGCAAGGATCTTTAAGAGTGAAATATGTTCTTCAAATACCCACTTTAACTATAGTGAAATGCATCTAGGATAATGTTTAAACAGACTAAGCTATTTAGTCGTCTTTTTTAATAGCATATAACAATTTAGAGTTATACTTTGATCCTCCTATCCAGAGAAAAGGTTTGACAGAACAAGATCCATGGCCTTTTTCTGCGCACTGTTTTTCTCTCCTGGTTTGGGCCAGAGGTGCTGCAGAAGGTATCCGGCAGCCCTCTGGTTCATTGCTTTACAAGTGCAACATGTACAACTGGCCCTTCTCTCTAACTCCCATCACAGTGCAGAGACAGCACATGTGGCCCAACACCCTGTGCCGGCATTCCTCAGCGAGGGTTGTGGAGTTCATAGTGACAGCTGCTCCTTCTGACAACAGAATAACGTACAATTGTTTGTGGGCTGTTGGTTATGCTGTTTCCTGGGAGGAATTATGCCACATGGAGCATAATTTATCTCACGCTTTTCGCACTTTACCCAAGCCATACTCTTGTTCACACAGTGTGAATGGCAGCAGTTTTGTGATGGAGAAAGAACGAGACATATCACCCCTCTGGGCCTTCTGTCTTGTCTACCACATAAGAGGACAGATTTATGTGGCTAGAGTTTTGGGTTTGTATGTATATACGTACAAGTACGTGTTACTGAAGCAACTACATGAAGACAGCTTTCCTTCCAAAGAAAGGGATAAGCTTTCCACACAGGTGCTTTCTTTTTTACTCTATAATGTGAGCTGTTACATGTATATTTTTATATACCCAACTTATCTAAGTTTGATTGTTTTTAGATGTACTGGTTCTAAAATAAGCACAATAAAACCAGTACTTCTTCTTTGATACTATGAAGGTGCAATAACACTAACACAGAGTACCATAGAGAGATGATGTGAAAGCACAAACCAAGCCTTTAAAGCCAGTTGTTCCCAAAGCACTGGGTCATTGGCAGCTCCTGCAGCACTGGGTGGTGCAGTATCTACAAACAGCAGCTGGACATACAGCACCAACTGTTTCTTCTTCACCTCATTAAAAAAAAAAAAAAAAGCTAGAAATAAGTCCAATATACATAGTTCCTATTGCTATCACTAAAACTTGTTCTGAATGCTAATACTAAGAGATTAGGGCTCTGCAACAGTGTTTACCTGGAGGTTCCTTGAAGGGTTTGGTCTACTGCATCACACACTGGTGATCACACAACCATCCAGAGAGGGGCTTTGAGACCCCCAGGTTGTGATATACTTCAGGAATATAACAGATTTGTGAAAATCATCATGAGACAATGCAGAACTGTGACCTCCATAAGCAGTGTCATTTTTATAAGGTCATATAAGAACTGTGGTGAAATATTTTAACATCTTCCAATTGAAGATAATTAAATCTAGATACCAGAGTCTGGCAGAGATTACATGTTCTTGGTAGAACAATTATTAAGCTTTTGGTGTGCACTTCTTAACGACATTGCCAGCAATGTCTCTGAAAAAGTCCCTACCTCTTCCACTAACATACAGTAGGACAAATGTCTTAAGACATAAGCGAACTGTTTTTGCTTTTCCAGCACCCTCAAGTTAAATAAATGCCTAAATGCAGTGTTATCTGAGAAGCAATAAAATTGTATCTTGGCACATGTAAAAGATTATCTGTTTTGTTTATGACTTGTATTTGGAAAGGTTTGTTGTATTAGATAATCCTAACCGTCCTGAGAGCTTTTTTATTTTTAGTAGTAGTCCTTTCATACTAAAATTTAACATTTTTATATTTTAGTAACAGAATTGCAGTACTCTCTCCGCACTCAGATTTTCTTCTGCTGTTTCAGGAAACAATACCTTAGAAGACCTCAAAAAAAGCTTGTTTCCTGCAAGTGAAACTGCAGCTCAGACTGGATACTAAGCCAAGGATTTTCACTGAAGCCCAAGGGAAGGTTGTTTGCTAACTCTTGTTGAAATTCAGTGGGAGTTGGGTGCTGAGACACTAAGCATTGTTGCCTTCAGCTAAACGTGACACTTCCAAATCCACTGCATACTGTCCCAACAAAAAACTGCATCTGAGCTTTGACAAGCAATTGCATTTTCTTCCATGTTACTCAATGAATTTGGAATAGAATTAGCATCACATGAGGGAGAAATCGTGTTCCCATGTTTGTTCTTGATTCCTGTTAAGGCTTGGAACACACTGGGCATTTTCCAGTACAAAACTGTACTTATATGAGTAAGAATGCTGAAATCAGAGGAGTTAGTCATGGTAGCACAAACGGCAAATTTAGACCCATAGTATTTTACAGTAAAATCTTTTTTTACAAAAAAAATTGATACTCGGGTAGACTATATCCCGCTATAAAAAGGGCAAACATTCCAATTAGATTGAGGTTCAAAATAATCAAATTATTTATCAATAATGGGTAATGGGGTTATATTAAGACTAGGAACTTTTTTATAAAGCAGAATATAGAAACATTTTTTTCAGAGAATGTAAGTATCACTGATGTGATTTCACTCTAAAGGCTACCCTTTTCTTTCTGCAGCTCTTGATAGTGTTTCACTTACAAACATTCAGTAATGCACAGTACATTTTGTGCACTAAATTTTCCTTTCAAGCTCAATGCACTAAGGAAGAGTAACTCCAAAAGAGACTAGAGCTTCTGGGTTTAAATTTAACACTATTTAAGGAACGCAAACCTTTGCTAGGGGATATAACTGTTAACATTGTGATTTTTCAAGCCTAAGGTTTCTAATAGGGTTTGACTGTTCCAGAGATAACATTTTTTTTTCCTAGGTAACATATTTCAAGTCATATTATGAGCAAATGTTACAAAATTTTAGTGTAATGTGAAATACTGTAATGTCAGATAGCATTATTTATCTGCTTAATATGACTAAAACCATTAATTGCTGGGAGCCATGCTTCATCCCAGCAACATGAAAATCCATTTTGTGCCTATCTTGTCAGTTATTGCCGATTTTCTTAATGAGTTGTGATGTAGTGAAATTCTGTTGGGAAATGTGTTTATATATTTCCAACTGCAGGTTCTGTACGGTAACTTATTACATAGATCCTCCATTAACTCAATGTTTTCATTATGCCTATGCCACAACATATCAAAGGTGCATTTTTCTTGCTTAGATATGTGGAATAGCCATTATTATTGCACATGCAGTTTTAATTATTAGAATTTATGAAATGAACTAAGTGGCTAATGTTCATTGTCTTATATTTCCATTTAATGATTCAATCAGGTTAAATCTGTCTCCTATTCCAATCAAGGTACTGTACATAACTCCCTGAGGAAAGGAGAATGCAGCCTATCCTGATCTAATTACACTTACACGCGTATCTTACAATAGTTGCATAATGCTTTACTATTTGCAGTGCAGAAGTTGACCTTGATCCCCGTGAAGTTAATGGCAGAACTCCTAGTCCCTGTATAGAGAGGCAAAGGCCTTGGCCACCCAAAGGCAAACAGAACAATAGGATGGTGGGACTGGAGGCTAGAAATAACCTTATGACCATCAGGTCCTGATCTCCATATTGCTACTACTGAACACTAACTTGTAGGAATTTAGACTAATTCATACTCATGTAAGATAGTTAGGGCATAAGTCTAGTTCATGGAAGACAGCATCTAGTATTTTACTGGTCTGTTCAAGTGAACGTAGCCATTTTATTGAGCAATGGTGGCATCACTCCTAGAGAGCAAGTTACCATTAGCAAATAGAGCTAGGGCGACAGAAGGAGCCACAGAAAACCTTTCAAGGCCAAAGATTTGGCCCTTCACTACAGGAAAGACATTGAGTTGCTGGAACGTGTCCAGAGAAGGGCAACCAAGTTGGTGAGGGGCCTGGAGCACAAGTCTCATGAGGAGCAGCTGAGGGAACTGGGTCTGTTCAGTCTGGAGAAGAGGAGGCTGAGGGGAGACCTTATTGCTCTCTACAACTTACCTGAAGGGGGGTTGTAGTGAGGTGAGTGCTGGTCTCTTCTGCCAGGTGACTGGTGATAGGATGAGAAGAAATGGCCTCAAGTTGCGGCAAGGGAGACTAAGGTTGTATATTAGGAAAAAATTATTTACTGAGAGGGTTGTCAGATGTTGGAATAGGCTGCCCAGGGAAGTGGTTGAGTCACCATCCCTGGAGGTATTCAAAAAGCGTGTAGACAAATGTGGTTTAACCCCATCCAGCAACTAAGCGCCACGCAGCTGCCTACTCACTCCCCCCCACCCCCAGTGGGATGGGGGAGAAAATCGGGAAAAAGAAGCAAAACCTGCGGGTTGAAATAAGAACGGTTTAATAGAACAGAAAAGAAGAAGCTAATAATGATAATGATAACACTAATAAAATGACAAGAGCAATAATGAAAGGATTGGAATGTACAAATGATGCGCAGGGCAATTGCTCACCACCCGCCGATCAACACCCAGCCAGTCCCCGAGCAGCGATTCCCTGCCCCCACCCCCCAGTTCCTATACTAGATGGGACGTCCCATGGTATGGAATACACCGTTGGCCAGTTTGGGTCAGGCGCCCTGGCTGTGTCCTGTGCCAACTTCTTGTGCCCTGGCTGGGCATGAGAAGCTGAAAAATCCTTGACTATAGTCTAAACACTACTGAGCAACAACTGAAAACATCAGTGTTATCAACATTCTTTGCATTCTGAACTCAAAACATAGCACCGTACCAGCTACTAGGAAGACAGTTAAATCTATCCCAGCTGAAACTAGAGCAAGGTACTGCAGAACATGGTTTAGTGG